GATTATCCTAATTATATTTTAGATTTTTTATATTTAAAATGAGATGTTTATCCTGTATTTGATTGTATTTATCTGCAGTTAGTTATACGAATTCAGTTATGAGATGAAATCGGATAGGGATGAAATTGTTTAGGGATGAACGGGTTTAAGAGTTTTAAGAGTTTAAGAGTTTTTAAGAGTTTTAGCCAAATGCTTTATAATATAGTATAGATATTCCAATCAATAGGAAACTTTGAAAATAAATATTTAGAGACATAATATTTTATTAGATGAAATGTACATTTTAATAAGTATAATCAAAATTTGTTGAAGTTAAATGTATTTTTACTTTAAAAGATTTAAAGTTTTATTTCCCAGAATCTTTCAAGTTTTTTTAACCCCCCAACAACAAAAAGCCACTTTTTGCTTTGTAAGTTGCAACTGCACAAGCCTTTTTTTCCTCCTAGGAAAAGAATTAACAAATCCAAATTTTAAGGAGATTGAGAAAGATGAGTGACCTGTGCTTCTTTGACGGTGAATTTATCAAGCAAGGCTTTCTTTTCATCTTTTGTAAGTGGCACATGCTCAGGAACAAGATAATGATATCTGATGTTTACTAGCAGCTCTGCCTCCTGTGTATCAACCATGGAACTTATTCAGTAACAATAAGCCTACAAAACCATCAATCCACCTCCTTGGATGTTACCAAAGGGATGGATACATCCCAACCTCCTTGAAATTCAAGAATCATCAATCACCTATATAAATGTTATATACTTTAAAAGAAACAGTCACCTGAAACACCTCGACTTGAAACCGTCCTGCTATCTCGGCCTGGCATGCCTTGGCACTAGGAGTCAAGCCATGTCGAACCACTATGATTGCTCTTCGTATGTTCTCGTGTTCCATGCGAATTACATATGTCTTGATTATCTTTACACCAATCTTCAGATCATCGGGAAAGAAAACATAAATCTGATGAACCCAAAAGAAAACAATCAGCATTCCCAATAGCTTGAATTCTTGAAATCAGCCATATAACTTCACAAGTCACATCTTACAATAACTTAATATGCGTATAAGTTGTAAAAAGCAAAACCCTAGAAACATATACCAAATTTATGTTTGAATCATATTTCAAGTGCATGAGTTGAATTACTAAATCGGAGCTGAGGGGATGTTTGGTTGGTTTTCCATTAAGTCATGTATCGATAAAATTGTTTTGTGTGGATTCATCTCTCAATAGATATCACGGAGGTTTTTTCATGGATGGAATGAGCGTGTTTTGTAGTTGGGAATGACACGTACAGGAAAAAATTGGCTTTATGCATAAAGCTCCCTCTATAAGCATATTGAGTAAGCCATCTTTCTATATCATTAAGCCACTACCAAACAGTCATGTATAGCTAACTGAATAAGTTGTGAGACCGATTACCCATTAAGTTGCTAACAATCAGGAATATAATTAGGCTGCGACCTAGGAACACAAAAAGATATGCACCAGGTTGTTTTCTTTGCATGCCAACGGATTAGGCACAATCCATATTTAAAAGCTACGAGCCTACAACGGGATGTTTTGCTGAAAATTATTCAACAATTTTATATTACCGTTGGTTACTAGTCCAAAAGGTCTTCACAGAAACAGTTGTTCTGCTCTTTAAGGTAGAAGTATGGAGGTCAGGATTGCATACATTTTACGCTCCTCAAACCTCACCTCCACGTGAGATATACCAGGCTCGTGTGGTTTATTTTTTAACTGGTTCAAAAGCATGAGCTTGTAGATAGGTTCCAAAAAGACTATTCAAGAACTACTTTATAGTCTCAAGCAAACATCTCAGGGTTTGTGGGACTCTTAGTTCTCTAAAATGATGGCCTACGTCATTATGAAAGTCCATTTACTCAATACTTGAATCCAACATACCCAACAAACAATTCTAGGATTTCAGAAAGTACTCAAATACACCATAAACAAAAGAATTGATCAAAGAAACCAAACAGAAAACATAAAAATTCGTTATCTTTAAATACATTACGAAAGTCAGCAGTTTCAAGAAGCAAAAAGTGGCAAATCAGACCTGATCGCTGTTGTCTGGTTTGGACTTGAGAAAAGTAAGATCTTCCCTTCTAATGGTCCCATTATGCTTATCAATGAATTCCTTTCTCGTCATGTCTATCTCTGAATCCTCTACCTCATAGCCTCTGTCTCTAAGCATCTCAAAACATGTTTTACGAACTCTATGCAGTTTCGTGATCTCCTCATCCGGCAACGACATTCGTTTGAGCTTTCAAAACAATATTCACCAATATAATTTTCTGGATGAGAAAACAGCAACAATCTTCAACAAATGAACACACGGATTTCAAATTATCTGCAACTACGAACTAAAAGAATTCCACATCTTTGGTAATACTTCAATTACAAATTAGCATGAAAGTATCGATGTCGTAAGATTGATGAACATCAAAATAACAGAATTACAGCCAAAATTTGTGTGATCTTAAATTCTAAATTAGCCAAAATTTCATCATCACTCATAGTACTACCAGGAAAAAAGGACGAACTTAACGCGATTTGTAACCTAACATATTATCACAGTTATCGTACTGATCATGAAGAGTTGCAAACAGAGGCGAGAAATTAATCGTCATCTCCTTCCTCCTCCTATAGAGTTACGATCGCATGAACATGATATTAACAATGAAAGGATATAATCAATAAGGCAATTAAGCAATATACTGCTATCAGTAAACAATGAGATCAATGAGAAGAGAGGAAGTTATGAAGAGCGTAAGACGGAGAAAAGAAGGAAAAGTGATTTCCGTTTCTTCATACCTCTTCAAATTGACGGTTATATGTGCAAAAATGGCGACGGCCGGAAGCCTGAGAATTGCAGAACCGTTGAAAGCTCGAAAAACCGCCGGCGGCACTGAGTTTTACGGCGAATAATACCGAGGAAGGAACCCTCACTCCTCTCCGGCCTTCTGGTTTCAGATTCACAAGAGAGAAAACCCGTCCCGATCCTTGGCCCATTTAAATATGCTTCAAAAAAGAAGCCCAATATAAAATACAACGTTGGACTTGGAGTCTGGACCGATGATATATCCTCTCATTATTTAGGTCTTCGGAGTCTGTTTGTTTTTTCGAAATTACCTCTCAATACCTCTGAAGTCTGATTCATTCAGACGTTTAGGTATTAAGAACGTTTGTTTTATTTCTAGAATAAGAGCTTAAAAATCTCTAAATATCCTCTGAAATTTTAAGTGGTAAACGTATCTATTAATGCCTCTTAATCCTAATCCGCATCTACCAAATGGTTCATATTTTTGGGGCTGTAAGAGGTTTGTTAGCAAAAACTATTTATCTTTTATACTTTTGTAAAAAAAAACTTTTTATCTTTTATATTTTTGCATTAGTTTGACCGATTCAAATTTCAGATTTCAGATTTCAGACATAAAAACAAACAATCTTATTGATCCAGACTTCAGGACCACCTCTTATAAATCAGAGGTGAAATTAGATTTAAGACTTGTTAAACACCTCTTAAAAAACAAAAGTCATTTAAGTGTTAATTAAAGGTTTTTTCATGACGAATATGTATGATTGTATATTCTTTAATTTATATTTAAATACAAATTAATTAATGTTATTGATATGAATGGGTAAGAAACATCTATTATGATTTTGTTTATAAATAAAATAAAACAATTAAAATTGTAACTTTTAGTTAACAAATGTGGAACCAAAAAGCGAATAAAAAAATACCGTTGCAATTAAAATTTTAAGCAACTAGTGATTATATCCATTGTTGGTCGATTAAGACTTTTGACATAAGGATGCTAATAAATATAATGTAAAGTCTTTTGGGTTCTCAAGAAAACCCAAAAAGTCCCAACTCCCCTCCTATAATTTTAATAATTTAATTTTAGAATATACTAGCATAATATAAATTAATAGTAAAAAAATAAAATTATAAAACATAAATGGGCCGGGCAGACTTATCCATTTATATTTTTACATTGTCCATGTCCGCCCGTTAATTTTATGAACAAAACCCAGGCCTGCTCATTTTCTCGATAATGGTTGTTCAAGCCCGTATGTCTAGCGGGTCAGATGAGCCTGGTCTAATGGACCGTCCCACCCATGAACAACTCTAGTCAAGAGGTAATCGAATGGACCTTGACTAACTTAAGGTCAAATTTTCTGGCATAAAATTTAGTACCAGCAATAGATGGATACAAGATTTTTGCCAATCTGGTGCACCTGTCCGTAAAGATCGCAAAGTCGTCTGATGTGTTTTTAGCTAAATTCCACCGTTTAGAGGGATTTTCAAGTTTTTCTTTCCGTTGATTTTGAGGGATTGTTAAGTTTTTTGATTGATTTTAAGAGAGTTTTTGGGTTTTTTGTTGATTTCGATGGATTTTTTACTGTTTTTTAGTTCATATATATTGTATTTTTTAATATCCTGAAGCACCTTTAAAGTTTAGCAGATGCAACTTTAATACCTCAATAAAGTTATAATTGTGAAAATAAGTCAAGTAGTTATAAGAGACCCGCTCGGGGATTCATAGGTCCACTTTGTTGGCAATCCCAACCGATCCCTTATGGAATGATTATCGGTAATCCCAACATGCCCATATGTTAGAGAGTATACTCTCATTTATTATTTAAACTTATAAGATTCTTGTTAAGCTTACAAGGTGATTTGACAATGGTGTCAAGGCTGATATAGAAATAGAGGGAACCACTTATTACAGATCATATGCATCCGTTGCATTACAGTCTGATATTTAAATTAAGAAAACCTTGTATCAGCATTCTAGCAAGCGTGCAAGCCGACTCCAGACGTGATTGTGCCCGATACGGGTTTTGATCGCCATGATCTATTGGCTCTCGATCGCAAAGTAACGACTTTTTCTAAGTGGTTGTTGTGGAAGAATGATTGGATGAGTCCAATCTCTCAGCGAGATAGTGGTCAAGCATGTACTCCTCATCGTCTGCAACCAAAAAGAGATGGTATTTCATGTCAGGACGCAAAACATGTGAAGTAATGATAGCGATATGATTCCTTGGCCAAACATTAAATGGTTCTCCTAAATATATGTTGGATCTCCTTTTCTTTTTTCAAGGGCTTTTTTGGACAGACTGACACTCTAGGACAATCTGCAAGGTCGTCCAATCTTTTTGGAGACCATTTTACACCTGTGCTAAAACTCAGACCGTGTGAAATGAATAATAAACAAAATAGAATATAAAATTTTCATATCATATTAAAAATCTTAGAAATTAAAATAACAAAGTGAGAAGAATATCGAAGAGTCATCTTTGTTTTTAATCGGCATATTTGAAATCATATAGCCGCTTTTGATTTTGAAAGCATTGAAGTGGGTTCACCGTTCACAGGTTGGGCTACATAAATGTGGCCCCTAAAAGGCAAGTAAAATTGTTCAAAAACCAAGATTTAACATGCTAATAGATGGTTTGACAATCTACAATCGTCTAACCCCCATTTGAGACTGTGGAACAATTTATATTCGTCTAGCCTCTACTGGAGGGGGAGTGGTGGAGTCCCACATTAGCTAGACTTGAACCATTTCTCCTCGATATATGATATACAACCCCCGTTCTTTTCTCAAAAGCCCTTTTAGTGAGTAATCTAATGGGGTTCCACATATTTTCACAAATGCCAACGGATATATAAGATGGAACGGATAGAAAAAGAGGAAAGAGGTCCAACCTTCGGAATCATCATCATCAAAATCATCGTCTTCATCTTCATCATTATATCCTTCGACGATTGGCATTGCCCGTCTCTGTCAAGAATAAGACGCGAGAATTCTTGACTTGATTAAGTATATATGCATTCAACTTGACTAATGTTTCGGCATGTGCTTAATAAAGAACATTTCTTAGATCTTGATCTTAATTATTATGGTAAATGTATCTATTTTTGGTTTTTGCTTATATAAGTTGCTATCTCATCTTGAAAACAATCAACCAAATTACTCTGTTGGAAGGTGTTGCAACCAATTTTCATTCAGCATAGATTCATAGAAATTTCAGGGGTGTGTTTGGTATATTGGGCATGACAGATGGATCATTGTTCCATATTTGATAGAACTTTTATGTAGAACAAACAGATAAATGGTGGAAAAAAGTGGAACAGTATCAAACAAATTTATATTTTACAAATATAACCTCAAAATAAAACTTAATTCTCTTTTAAAACATCAAATGCACCTCCCTCTTTACATTATATTCATTATTTAAATTTTATTTATTGTACTTTATGGTCTTTATAATTTCACTTTATTTTTCTTAAAATATTATGTTTATGCGGTTTTTATATTTTTGATTTATTAAATACTAGTAATAATAGAATAATATAGGAAATGTATAACATAAAAATTAAAAACTACGTAAACTTTTTATTTTGGTGTCATTTTAATCGTCTTGATGAAACATTTCTAATGATATATTTTGTTATAAAAAATATTTATTTTATTATAATTTAATAAACTTCATATATTAATCAAAATATATAAACAACTTATTATGAGTAAATTGGTCATTTTATTTGTTCTGTCATGTCCAGTTCTGTTTAACCAAACGTTAAAACAGATGTTCTATTATGTCTTGTCTACATATAAAACGATACCGAATGAATAGAAAAAGATTAACTTACTGCAGAAGCTCTTCCACTTTGAAACCACTGTCTGCCGGTGAGTTTCTTTTCTTTGGGTGCTATGAGTGCTGATTCCGGCAGCAGCCTGAATGTGGGAAGATAATAAGCATTTAGAACAACTAGAAGAATATTCGTAATGCAGCGATATATATCTCGATTTTAATGTTTCGTTTTATTCTTTGTCTTTGTCGATGTTATAATACGGTTTTATGTAGTTTTGAGAAATCGATAATGTTTTTATTTTTGAATAAAATATAAATTTGAAAAAATATATATAAAAGTTCTAGTTTTTTGTGTAATTTTTTTAATTCAATTTTTTATTATAATTTAATTTATTTTTGGTTTAATAATATAATTTTTTATAAAGATAATAATTTACGTATTATGTTAGAACTCAATAATTATCCTAATTATATTTTAGATTTTTTATATTCAAAATGAGAAGTTTATTTTGTATTCGATTATATTTATCAGCAATTACATACACGAATTTAAACATGGTGATCTAATTAGTTGTACTTATGCACAATTTCCTTGTAATCTTGAATTTTAAGTAATATGCATCAATAAGCAGTACATCATGCGTAAAAAATGGTATTTAAGAGTTTTTGTCAAATGTTTTATAATATAGTATTAGATATAGATATTTTACTAGGGGCCGGTTCAAATAAGAAGGCTTAACTATCGGAAGAGAATAAGGAGAAGGGAACATTCACATGTGAACAATTGAAAAAATATGAAAAACAATCTATATGAAGATGCACATGCGAACCAATGCTTAGATTATTTATTGGGTTCACAGATGCATCTTCAAAAAGGATTTTTCCAAGTTTCAATTGTGCATCTTCAAAAAGGATTTTTCTAAGTTTCACATATGAATCTTTCCTTAACCTTTTCTTCTTACCTTCTCGCGATTTTAGTCATCTTATTTGAACCTCCCACTACTATATTGTACTAGCCAAAAAAGAATTTGATTGGTTACTCTTTTTCCATGAGATGGAACATTATATATTGGAAAATTTCATGAGGACGCCTAAAAACATCCTATAAACCTATTGTAACACTTTTAGATATGAAGCTTTTTGGTTTGGTCCTATAAACTTAAGTCCTATAAAGTATCTTTTTAGGACGCTTCTAATTTTAGGGGTCCTATAAAATTAAATTTGTTGTAGTGTGGTTCCTCCACAAGAAAACATAGGGGATTTGTATTGTAAATCAGATGATGGAGGCATAATATCATCATTAAATGAAGAAGATAAATTGCAGAAAATAATAGAATTTGCTACTTATGAAACTTACTTGGCTCTCTCAAGGGCCAATTCTGCTTCAAATCTTTCTCTCCATGCCAAAAAAGTCTCAACAGTAACAGGTTCTCCATGTGGCACAGTTATCTAAGACCAAGTTCAATAAATCCAGCTGTCAAACTTAACAATCATATAAAAATCTTTTGAAACTTATAAATCATGCAATATGCAGACACCTATACTTGTTCACAACAATAGATGCTGCAAAAAGTAAGTGCAGGCCAGCTACAAAACTTCTAGCCGTGGAACCTTATTAGATTACTTTTTAAAAGAGCTCTTATTAAAAAGGGAGGTTCCAACATATATTAAGAAGGAATGCCGCAATTCTAGCCGATCTGGGACTCTAACAGCCAAGGTACAAAGAGACCCATAAGAGATGCTGTTTGGTTGGTTTTCCATTTAGACATGTATGGATAAAGTTGTCCGTGTGGATTAATCTGTCTTCTATATAGATTGAGAAAGTTTTTGTTTGGGAGGTTTTTTTTCATAGATGGAAGGAGCGTGTTTTCTAATTGTGAGGGGCAGGTTTGGGAAAAACTTGGTTTTCTGTATAAAGCTTCCCCCTTAGAAGCTTACTGCATAAGTCAATTTCTATATCATTAAATCACTACCAAACAGAAACAGTCATGTATAGCTGACCGAATAAGTTGTAAGTCTCATTGAGCACATTAAGTTGCTAACAAACAGACTCTGAATAACGCTTATGTTTTCGAGAGTTACCTACTATTCTATGTCACAAGCTAAACTAGACAGGATTGTCTCAGTATACAACTTCATTTCCTGACATGACACAACGAAAAGAAACCAAATGGATCCAGTAAATCCCACTCGAAAGTATTTTTTTGGGGGGGGAGATGTATATAGGCCTGACCTCTATCTCAAAGCTCTTAGAACAAGTAACCAAACGTAAATGTGAGAATATGTGGAACCCCATATCACTCTCCAAAAGAACCCTTGAGGAGGAAGGGGAGGTTCCAACATATATATAGGACAAATGTCAAATGGTCCAAGTCTCCGATGGAGGACTCCAACATGCCCCTCCAGCACAGCCTAGATGGACATAGTTTGTCCGATAGTGTCAAGAGTGTTGAGTCCTTAGAGTGGCAAACCTTGTCTCTGATAGAATGTGAGAATATGTGGAACCCCCATATCACTCTCCACAAGAGCCCTTGAGGAGAAAGGGAAGCTTCCAACATATATTCAAGAGAAATGGTCCAAGTCTAGCCGATGTGGAACTCCATCAGTAAATTTCAGAACTACATCTAAGTAATGCAAAAAACATACTTCGTCCTTATCTGCTGCTTCCTCTGTGTTATAGTCATTTCCAGTGTCTGGAGCAAATCTTTCAGCAAACCACTCATTAGCAGAGGTAACTAGAGTGTAAATCATAGCCATTCCAAGATTCTCAGATGCCTGCACAGCATTGAATGAGTAGTTAAATAATGAATCATGAGGTGCATGCTAAGTTACTACCATTATAGAAAAAGTAAATACTGAACGAACGTCACTACCAAAAGCAAGAACTTTCATTTGCGATTTTATATGCAAGTACTCAGATCCAGATAATAGATTTTTGTATGTAGTATTACTTAACTCATCTTGAAGCTTGTCTGTTGGGTCATGAAGTTCTGAACTGTGTTAATGTACTGAAAAAAGGTATGGTTGATCAAATGCTTTAGTTACTCAATTCAATGAAGCCCTTATTTCAACCTAGTTGAGGTAAGCTAAACAGAGACCCACATGAAAAATATCAGAACTATATTGGAATATGCAAAGAGAACTGGAAATTAGAGCATCTCCATGGAGGTTCATATTAGAAGTACTTTTGTATTTTTTCTTGTCACTTCCAACTCTTCAAATTAGAACTCACAGAAAAGTCCACAATGGTAGTTCTTTAAGAACCTTTTTGTGGGTTCCATGTATATTTTTTCAACATCAATAATTAATATATATTTATGAATAAATATCAAATATTTAATTTGAAACGTATAAAAAAACTTGAATATTGTCACTTCACACCAACTTCAAGATAAGAACCAAGGTTCTTGTACAAGAACTCAAAGGGTGTGAGGTTCTTAAAAGAACTCTCTACAATGTTGGTTCTTCTAAGAAACTACACTTTTTGCTTATAAGAACCTTGCATTGGAGATGCTCTTATATGAGATGATGCTAACAATCATGTGTACCTCTTGTTCAAGCTTTTCTTTCAAAACTGCGAGATCTGATGCTTGGATTCCTTTTATACTGAAACATCACCACGATAAGGATTATTCATCATGGAAATCTCTAAGGCTATACACAGTTACCAACGAATTGAAATAGATCAACCGCATGAGCTATTAAAACATCCTAATATAATGTGTCAAGAAAAGAAAGGTAACTGATAGTTCATGGTCATAAATCAGTATGCCAAATACATCATTAGGGTCACGATGTATTTAGAAATATCTTAGCTTAGGGGTTGTTTGGTTGTTTTCATTAACTCGTGTATGAATGTGACTGCCTCTGTGAATTAATGTGTTTGTATAGATTGGGAAGGTTTTTGTTTGGGACGATTATTTCATAGATGGAAAGAGGTGTTTCTAATTGAGAGGGGTAGGTTTGGAAAAAAACTTGGCTTTCTGCATAAAGCTCCCCCTAGAAGCTTACTGAATAAGCCACTTTCTCTATTATTAAGCCACTACCAAACAGTCATTTATAGCCGAGTCCCAGTAAGCTCGTTAAGTTGCTAACAAACAGACCCTTAGTGATTAAAATAGTCGGCCATGGTACATGGATCTGCGGATGAATATAGGAAGCGAGAAAAGAAAAACAAGCATAGTTGTGGCAATTACAGCCTGTTAGCGAAATGAACAAGGCTGGCATACAAGAGCCATCAACAAGAGAATGTAATAATAGATAATGGAGTTTCTCTGCCAGTAGCAAGAAATATGAAACTGAGTCGAAGTGTTAGATCAAGAAAGATGTAGTGAGACACCTTTTCAAATTCAAAAGTGGTATTTCATCCGGATATTTCTCTGTATGTGAGAAAATTAACCCCAATTGAACTGCAACCAAAATTTAGCAGACAACTAATGTATTTAAAAAAGTGAACATCCTTGAGCAGTAAACCTGCAAAATTTTGTCTAGTATGAAACCTGGACTAGAAGATTCATCGGTCTCATCATCCTGTAACATAAAGAATAACATCCTTAGTACTAATATATCATATTGGAGAAGAAATAAAAAACATTTCTGGATGCAAAAATATGTCTACATATACATATACACAAAGTAGTACCAAGAAAAATCTCTTATGAGACGATTGTTGGGCTTGTTTTGTTAACGGGTCTGCTTGAGCATGATGTTCATAAGATGATGTCTAAAAGTTAGTGAGGGAAGATATGCAGAATCATACAGTAAAGCAATTGCCTGCAAAGCCGATATCCATTGTAGATTGAGAGTTATGTGAAAAATAGCTTTAGCACTAAACCAATAATTATCTTTTTTTTTTCTGACAACAGGGAAAACTGTTAGAGATGGACTGAAATAACTCAAAAGATGACTTAGCGCAGGAATTATACCCTCACTTTTGGCTCTTTTGCATGATTGGGAAGACTTTTGGTTAAATTTTAAACATCTTCCACTGGAAGAAGAGACCGAGTTAAAAAAACAAGCTTCAGAACTTAAGAGAAGTCATAAAAGCCTACTGTATAAAGCCATCAAAATAGGTATTCTACACTTAAACCCAGAGGACATTGTGGACATCAGTAAAAGTGCTTTTGTAACACATAAAACTTATGACTTATGACTAAGGTTCAGCACTTATATCTTCGATAAGGCTACTTCTATTATAGTATAAAACAGCTGATATAAAGAGTGTGCGCTTGTAATCTTCACAGCATTATATGTGGATGCTGTTTTGCTGTAAATTTTGTGCCTTTTTCCCTTTGTTTTGATTCCATAAAAGATATTTATTATCTTTGACTTTGTCTCTGAGTTTATATTAATGTGACGTCCCTTGGCTTATCTCAAAAAGTCGACACCTTTTTTTAGGGTGTGAGGTTATAATTAGATAGAAACAAAAAAAAAAAAATGTAAATCGTTCATCAAAGTTGAATACCTGAAGAGATAACTTAATTTGAAAACATCGATTTGAAGTGTTTAATCCACTTTCACTAGGGTGAATTTCTGGCATACATCAAACATAAACTTCTTAGTACAAGTTTGATTTTGAAAGTTAAAGATAATACATCATAATCCTAGAAGAGTGAAGCAAATGTAGAGCGTTATTTATTGCACAAACCTTCAAACTCGTCCATTAGGATGGCCTTTAAAGCTTCGATTTCCATCTCCTGCTCCTGAGCATGATCTGTCATAAAATATTAGTAAACAGCTCTTTAATAACCTTTCTATTTTCTCATCTCCTTGCCATCTGGAGTTGGTACAAACTGGCATTAACTCTATAAAATTAAGAGGGAAAAAGCTAGTTAATAATGAGCTTCTTCCACGTTCAAAATCAATTATATTCCTTTATTATCATCACACTTGATCCAAAATCTCCTCCCTCTTAAAAAGGTTGGATCAAACTCCATCATTTCAACCAATGGATATCATTCATGAATGTAGTCCACTTTATTCACAATATGCAAGATCGTGTAATTGTTCAAGCAGTCATGTTAGTGTGCATAAACACATGTATGTATCATATTTCCTGCGCTTTTTTCTCTATTAGCGAACAGTGTCTCAAGCCTGTAGGCAATTACTTCAAAATGAATGCATGATATCCCTAACCACGATCATCCTCAGGCATGTAGCTCAGTTGACAAAGAGGAGTCTTTGCTTGAATATAGAAGATTTCAAGTTCAAATCCTGCGGGAGACGAGGTTGAACCCCTTTGCTAACCTCAGCCGCCAAGTCAGCTCTGAAATGCTTCCTCACATGGGATTCCTAGGGACGGATTCCATGTGGGCGGCCGGTAATCAACCTTTTACTCAAATATCCCTAGCATTATCAAACAAGTATAGGCATATAATTTTAGTAATATGAGGCCTATACATCTTGCTACCGCCCAATTTAAACAAATCATATAATAAACTACTCGGATAAAGATGGAAATTCATTCAGTTTTTCGAATTTCCCCCAAAATCAGCTCAACTCACTTGAATCAGAGTCATATTACCGGGAAATGAAGATACAAACATACACTAATACAATACCAACGAGAACAACAAACGCTCATCCTTATAACGATTCTTTTTTCAACAAACTTCCGAAGACTACACGTTTAGTCAATCAGAATCTTATATCGTAGCCGCTTATCGTACTTTTGGCCGATCGATCTTCCAATAACTCAAACCAAATATTACAGAATCTATAACTTTTTTAAAAGGAAACCTAGATCGATCATGATATTTAAGATATTTACAAATTTGGAGGAATTACCTGTCATCTTTGCGTTATACTTGTACTTTCTTCTTCGATTCTCGTCCTATCTTCGGTATTATCTCCGTCAACCTCTCTCGCCGGCGATCGGGTTTGAAAGAAGTAGTCGAATAGTATCAACTATCAAGTTACCGGTATGACACTAGTATTGTTAGCGTGTTTCCACCCCCACTAAAGCTATCGTATGACCTTGTCGAGCCACAGCTGTTGATCCACTGGCTTCTCAAGCATGTACGTTCGCTTGGATTGCATGTACGGATACCGTATTTCCAGTGACGTCCCTCAACTTTTTCCATAATACATAAAAGACCCTTTTACTTTTGTTTATATGCAGAAAACATGTCGCCAGCTATGGGTGTGTAATGTGTATGGCGTAGGGTAGGGTAGCGTAGGGTAGGGTGGGGTGGGGTGGGTGGGTTTGCGTGGGAAAACCAAATATCCGGTCGGGTTTTGGATATGGAAGCCAAGTCCCGAAATTTGGATTTCAAATTTCGGATTGCTTTGAGTTCGAGTTGGTCGGGGTCGAGTACCGTTTTTTATATATGTATATATTCAAACAGTTTTGAGAATAAATTCAAAAGGATTGATGAATCGATGTTAGGTTTGTAAATAGAAAAATAGTACTAAAATTCATGATTTTCGAAAGATAATTAGATAAATAAATATATTTTTATAACAACTAAATATTATATATATATTTCAGGTTCTCATACGGGTCAGGTGGCCAAACACCGTACCCAAATATCCCACCAAAAAGTCAGGTTTTGTATAACCACCTCATTTTCAGTTCGGGGGGCGGGCCATTTGAGTTTTGCACCCCTCTATCGCCAACGTGGTAAGGGAGATAATTAGGTTGAGTTTTTTAAGCTATAAACATGCATGAACCATTTCACAAAGCATCCGTCTTGGTAGTCCAAAGTTTGGACAGTCAGCTATTGGTACCAAATGTGAGAAAATCACCAGCTTCCATAAGAAATTGAAGAATTTCTTGAAAATCCTAAAAAAACAAATTTTCTCGATAAAGTCAGTTGAACCCTAGGTAAGAAATAACCAATTGCACCAAAATATAAAGTCAATGCATCCATATGTTACTATATTTGAAGTTTTAATTACATAAAAAAAAATCAGTTATATTTTTTTAATTAAGGCTGAAATGAAGTAAATAAACCTGATTTATACAATTTAAGCTTAACCAAAACTTTAAATTTAATGATAGTATATACAAAGTACATAAAATTTTAAAACAGTTTGAAATAAGTCACTTAAAGTAAAAAAAAAAAAAACGATCAATAGGTATTCAACTTCCAATCAGCGTTACTAAAACCAAAAATATAGTTAAGATAATTTAAAGGACTGTTTACCAATTTTTTTAATCAAGTCTCGTATGGATAAATTTATCTGTCCGGATAAATGAGTGTTGTTGTTTACTTTTTTTATCTGAACAAACAGTATGAATAACATAAATGACCAATTTACCCTCGATATTAATTATTTGAACATTAAAACAAAAAATCATAAAGAGGTTGACGATGGGATATCTCATTTGGGATGGATGCGATGCTTTAAATAAGGGGTAGAGTGTCATTTTTGTGGCTGAATGGGGACATCACACCATTTCTATCTGTGCGATAAAACCATGTTTTGTGCGAATAAGCCGTAAGTAAACAATCCAAATGAGCTGTGCGAATAAGCCGTAAGTAAACAATCCAAATGAGCTGTGCGAATAAGCCATATAGACCAATAAGCCTAATTAAGCCGCAGATAAACAGTCCATAAATCAAATATAATATACATAATTGTAAAGTCAAAACATGTAAAATTAAAAGTTCCTTGGTCTACACTTAAGAAAATTCTACGTTAAAAAACGTAATGAATTTTTCATACCGAGAGTTGAAAAAGGAGAAAAAAAACGTTAGTTAAAGATAGATGAAGAAAGCTGAGAGCATAACAATACGAGATGGCCGATTCAGTGCCCTCGGTGGAGTTAAGGGTGTGCAAACCTCGAATGGTCCAAATTTTGAACCCGAGCTGAAAATAAGATGCTTGTGCCAAATCTGTATGCATTGAAATATGAAAATCCAAAACCTAATTTGTAGGGGATATTTGGTTTCGGTTTGAGTTTGATTTTTGAGCACCAACCCTGAAATATACATAGATACATTATTTAAAATTAAACAATATCAACACATTATTTAAAAAGGATGAACTAATAATATTCATCAATATTTTTGTAAAAGCTGGGGCTAGCTACCAAATGCTTACCCGATAAGTGCTTAACAAGTCATATTATCTTACCGGATTAACATGATAAAGACCGGTAACCTTACTTAGGGGCTGTTTGGCAGTTGCTGAATGATTTAGTTCAGAATAGCTAAGAGGTTAGAATGGCTAAGAGGGTCAGAATGGTTAAGTGCTGAATGAAACAAAGTTGTTTGGTAATTGTTTTCTGAATGACAGCAAAATTACCATTTTAACCCTCAAGAAATACAATCAATTCTAAACATTTTTTTAGAAAAAAAAGATGTTGTTCTTCATGTTCTTCATATCAAGATCACAAATCCTCAAGAAATTGCAAAATATAGGTAATCCAATCATCATTAACATTGTTACAAACATGAAGTTAGCAATAAACACCATCAATTTTCAAAGAAAAATGCTATCCTAAACCAAACCCTAGACAGAAAAATGCTACCCTAAACCAAATGCGACGGCGACGTGAGGCTGTGGAAGGCGACGAGGCGACGGCGACGAAGCGGCGACGAGCGGCGACGAGGCGGCGACGAAGAGGCGACCGGAGAACGAACAGAACGGTGATGTGTTCCTCTTTGCCCTCATCGATGGCTTCAATCTGTGATGAATCATCGAGAATCATCGAGAATCAGGGTGGGGGAGGGGTTGTGAAGAACGGCGACGAGTGAGGGTGGGGGAGGGAAGGAGACGAGCCGGAGAAGATGGAGACGAGTGAGGGTGGGGTGAAGGAGACGCATTTGGTAAAGGGAGCATGTAAAGGGTAAAGTGGGAAGAATTGTCATCTTAATGGTTGAGTGAGGTAGGAGATGCAAAATGGTTAAGAGCCTTATGTAACCATTAAGAGGCTCTTTTTTTTTTGCCAAACAGCCCAAACCTCTGACCGATTAAGAGGTTCCCTCTTAATGTCACCATTAAGAGGGAAACAAACAGCCCCTTAGTAAGAGTGATGACAAGGATAAAAAGTTTTATCCAATTAGTGATTACCGGGTAAAATGCTATATACAATGTCGTTCTGATGAACTAAAATCTTATATAATATGATAAGTGATAGTGTTAAATCTTACTGGTAATTATCGGGTAAGTTTTTGGGTAAATGACCTATGAAGTATGAATCAAATAAACCTCTTAAAAGAATTAGAGATAAAACTTCAATTGTAGTCCATGTGATTTAGAAATTGTGATTTATGTTCGAGTGGTTTGAAATTTGTTGCTATTTTCATCCGTGGGCTAGTTCCTCCCTTATAAGTATAAGGGACCAAAACAGTAAAAAATGTAAACTATAAGGGCCACAACAACAATAAATTATTAATCACATTAACGAAAATAATAATGAATTATAAATTATGGGGCTCAAAATTAGATGAAGAGCTTTAAGTGTAAGTTTGTGTAAAGTATAAGGGCTATAGGTGAAAATATTACCATCTTATCATCGGACTAGGGTTTCTCCACCAGGTTTGCATATAAAAGCGAACTTGGTCTATTTTTCCGCCTTCAAAACTCTCACAGCGAAGAACGCCGCCGTAGCAAAACCCTAGACGGTGAGGGATCTTAACTTTCTCTCGATGATGGAATGTTATATATATGATGTGTGTTTTGATCTTAACTTTGTGGTTGAATACAGGATTAAGCAGGAGAAATGACGACCGTACCAGGGCAGCTGATATGGGAGATCGTGAAGAAGAACAACTCTTTTCTTGTGAAGGAGTTCGGTAATGGAACACAGAGTGTTCAGTTCAGCAAAGAGCCTAATAACCTCTACAATCTTAACTCCTACAAGCACTCTGGTAATCTTCAATCGCATTTTCTAGCAGTTTTGATTACTTAATTGACGATTCTAGCTCATTACGTTATGATTTAAATCTCGATTTATGAGTTTTGAGATGCTATAACCGAGTTTGGGGACTTCAGAAATAGAGGCATTTATGTTTAATTAAGCAATGATAATTCTGAGCCATTGATATTTTCCTTTCATAATGTTGATTATAATATGATTTATGTTTAGAAGAACAATTGTTATAGTGCTGAGAGTGGTGTTGTTCTGTTACTGTAAGCAAACAGCAATGTCCATTGAATGTACTCTTTCCTGGCCTTGTTGGAAGTGGTATAAAGTGATCAACTAATTCAACACTGAGCCAGTAAATGTGCTCTTTATCATTAGCGAGTTGTTTATGAGTAATATTATTGTGTCTTTGACTGTAGTTAGGATTTTTTTTAATTGAGGGGGTTTCTTTATTTTGTGACTAGATCCACTAGTTGTTGGTGAGGATTTTGATTTTATATGGTCTTATGATTTGCTGTGATGTTATTGTTTGATTATTTTGGCATGTTACTCTAGTAAGAAGTCAGAAGTTCAATCTATAATCCCTAATTGATGGTCTTTGCACTGAGTATTAGAAATCAACCAATGTTTGGTTAAAATTTTCAAGTTTTGCCTCTATGTTTACCAGTTTGATTATCGTTTGGTGAGTTATTAATTTTGTCTCAATGGGTAGAGTATTAGCATTCACTCTCTTGGGAATGGCTCTTTGAGTCTTTATAAACTTGTTTATGGTTTGTATGGACTTTGATAGCAAATGAATTTTTGATTATCAGGATTTCTACTGTAATAAACCATTAATACCATTTTCTTTGTTATTACTTACAGGGCTAGCCAACAAGAAGACTGTTACCATTCAGCCAGCTGGAAAAGATCAATCTATTCTGCTAGCAACCTCCAAGACCAAGAAACAGGCCAAGCCTGCAAGTTTACTTCACAAATCTATCATGAAAAAGGAGTTCAACCGCATGGCTAAGGCTGTTGTAAACCAGGTACCCTTTTGAAGAAATCACATTCATTAACAACTATGATGTTCAAATTTTATTGCATCGGTTATTTGTCTTTCTCTTTTCTATTTCGTCAAATGATTCCAGGTATTTTTTTGTGCTTTTTCCTTAGCTTGTACTACAACCAAGAACTATGTGGTGTTAGCATGTGTTATGCCCTCTTTAATGAACTCTTTTAATTGTACCATCTTTGTAAAAGCGTATTCATATTTAGGCTAACTACTTCTAAAAGCCCTGCTAGCATGTTTTGGATGTTTGATAATGGTATTCTCAATACCTGTTTACAAGGTGGGGGTCTTCAGACAAACAATCTATTTACTACATCTTAGGGGCTGTTTGGTTGGTTTTCCATCAAGTCTTGTATGGATAAAGTTGTCTGTGTGGTTAATTTGTCTGTATAGATTGGGACAGTTTCTGTTTAGGAGGTTTTTTTATAGATAGAAGGAGTGTGTTTCATAATTGGGAGGGTTAGGTTTGAAAAAACCTTGACTTTCTGAATACCCCCCCTATAAACAGTCATGTATAGCTGACTGGATAAGCAGTGGTTCTATTAAGCTGCTAACTAACAGGCCCTTACTTTCCCTAGACCCTACTTTATGTGGGGTTTTGCTTGGTTTGATTTATATTTGCATTGTAGAGGTGGTGCATGTAGGGTCTGTTTTGTATACAGATGGACTTAAGAGTGAGGTAGACGGGTGGAAAAATTTGGCATTGGTAGTTTCATAATTTACCAATATCTCTCATCTCTTTGACTTTTCTTCATTCTACTTTGGTTGGACAAAAAGTCCATTTGTGTGCCCTTAGGTCATATTCTGTCTTTTCTACTGTCCCGCCAAATGATGGGACATTAAATTTTTGTACTGTCTAGTCCCATCCTGTCCTGCTAATCAAACACACCCGTAATAGCTAATTTAGTCCTGAGAGGATTTTGTTTGGTATTCTGAGCAATGCTATTGTGTATTGTCGATCGCGTAAAGCTTGCATTTGTTAATGGTGGGTGGTTTTAAGAAGCAAAAGTTGAACGGGTTTTAACAGTCATAGTGTTTATCATCATCTATGGCAGGTTGCTAACAACTACTACAGGCCGGATTTGAAGAAGGCAGCTCTTGCAAGACTAAGTGCTGTGAACAGGAGCCTCAAGGTTTCCAAGTCGGGTGTGAAGAAGAGGACCCGACAGGCTTCAAGGATTTACGGTAGGAAATGAAAAAAGATGTATTAGTAATTCGCAAGCCCCGGGTTCTTTTTTCATAAAATTTTCTGAAATATTTATGTTTTAGACTACCAAAATCATCTTCATTATCATTAATTGTCTGTTTTCTGGAGGGTCAAAGTTGGTTCCTTTTTTTGGTTACAATATCTGCAGAATACTAGATTTTGATTTGGTGGCTTTTGAGAAGAAGTATGTTTTTTATTACTTTGGCTTGTTTTTGACTTGTGTCTTTATGCAATCTCTATTGCTTGCTGTTGGTTAAACCTTATTTGATAAATCAGGAGACTAAGGGCCCGTTGCTTATCTGGTAAGAATCAGCACTTTCATTTGCTGTACTGGATAAGATTTTAATCTATTGAAAACGACATCTCATGTAACATTTTATCCGGTAAGCGTTTAGTGGGTTCTAGTTGCAACTCTCGCTTACCGGGTAAGATTCATGGCCCTTGTTATCGCTATTATTGAGTATGGTTTTCAATTCTTTTCATGTTCTTTCGATAAGATAAAGTGATCCGGTAAGTGTTTAGTAAAACAATGAAGAGAATTTATTAAGTTTATTCCCATTTAAAGAAAATATATTATATCCTTTTTTAATGTATAAGATGTCGTTGTCTTGGAAAATTTGAGCTCTTATAGTCAATGATGTCTCCTGCATTAAAAGTTGCTAGAAGTGTGCAAGTTTAATATTGCATAATAGTTGGTATAAATTTATTTTAAAATTTAATTATTCTTTATATTTTCTTTTGTTTTTTTAATTATGAATCAATTATGAGACAGGATAAGAAAAAATATTCAATAGATTTTTGAAAATAAAAATTTTTGGATAATTTTTTTGTTTCAAACAAATGGTTCAAAACTTTTTTCAAACACATTGGTGGTGTCTGGTTGGTTTGAGCATGGACTCTAAGGGTGTGTTTGGTACGCTGGACAGAGTGGGGACAGGACATGACAAAACACATTTGTTCTACGTTTGGTGTGGCTAAATGTGGAACTAAGTGGAACTAAGTTGGACAGACATGGGACACGCGTGTTATCCTTTACCCCTGGAACTAAGTGGAACAGAGACATTTTTACTTGAATACCCTTCCCCCTTTCTTCCCCACATCGCACCCTCAATCGGCGCCCCTGCACACTCTTTCTCCGCCACTCCATCGCACGAAATCGTTTCTCCTCCCCATCGGCGACAATCTTTCTCCCTTTCTTCCCCAAATTTCCCTCCTATTTCCGGCTACAAAAACAAAGAGTCCCTGAGTCAAGTGAGCCCACCACCGGTGGCTACCAACAACTCACCCTAGCGACCGACGGCCAGGTTCAACCGGAGAGAAAGATGGTGACCCAAAAAGGAGACAGAAAGAATCTGTTAGCCATCACCGGAGCTGCAGCCTTCATAGCCGTCGCCGTCAAGTTCACTATCGATGCTTTTAACTCAAAGAAAAACCAACTCAAGAAGAAAGGTATCTTTCTCTATTCGATGTATTATTTTCCATTTGTAGTTCATCTACCTGCGTCGTTGTCATGTGGAAATTTAGTTGAATTTTGTTTAATTCAATGTTTGTAGATCTTCAAGGCTCCAATGGTAGGGCTAATCTTTCGATTTTGCTGTTTTGCATAACTATATATGAAACAGCAAGGGCAATGGGTTCTTCGATTTCGATCGTGTTCTTCGTTTTAATCGATATATATGATGTTCTATGAGTTATTTGGATTAGCATCTTTTCGATTTCGATTTTGCTGTTTTCTACTTTGTAGTGATGCTTGCCTGTGTTCTACGTTAGGGGTAAATCAATCATTTTAACAAGTTCTGTCTTGTCCTGTCATGTCTTATCAAACGCTGAACAGCTGTCCTGTCCTGTCCCGTCCGCGCACCAAACACACCCTAAAGGTCAAAAGTGCCTGAAGGTTCTAGGTTTGAATCTAAGGAGAAATAAAAATTCTCTTGTGGTCACGAAGGTTCACATGCCGTGACTCCGCGCAATCCGCAAAGTGGTGGTCATCCTGAAATTAGTCGACTCGTATAGCTGGTTAGATATATAGGTTAATAAAAAAAATCTCAGAATTTGAAAACCCTTCAAGGAAATGATTACCATGAAAGAGAATAATTTTTATGATAAGCATTTGAATGCATTAAATATATGAAATACTGTTGAAGTTGAATGCATTAAATATATGAAATTACCATGAAAGAGAATAATTTTTATGATAAGCATTTGAATGCATTAAATATATGAAATACTGTTGAAGTTGAATGCAATCTTTTTCGAGATTTTAAATTTTGATTTCCTGTTTTAAATAAATTTTAAAAAATCTATTAGAGATATTCTAAAACCCAGTTCTTAAAAAACTCAACTAATAACGCATGTTTTGTTAAATTTGCATAAAATACGTTAAAAACACCAAACCATAAAAATACGTGACATAAATTTTCAATAAATCAAATTTGAAGCATATTTTTTCTGTTAAAAGATGCAGAAAAATACAAAAAGGCTCCATGTCACCGTGATCATTACGCACCAAGGAGGAAGTGGCACACATGATTAAAATAACTTCCATCTCACATGATTATCCATCATTGACGCACGTGCTATTTTCCAAATTGCACGTGTTCTATTCCATTCCACGTGGCAGAATCCAAGATATTAAATACCCGTCGGAACCCCCTCCCAATCAACGGCGGAGACACCCCTCCTCACTACCACCACCCACCGAGTCTCTCTCTCTCCCTCTCTCCCTTTACTTTTTTTTATCGGCGCCGGCGCTGGCGCTGTTGTCGATTTCAACTTTTTTTCCCACTCATATTCTTCCTCGATTTCTACCCAATTAACAGTTTCCCAAAACCTAAAAAATGGAATTGTCGAAATGGGTTTTTGTAGTTTTCGTTATTTCCCTTTTGAAACCTGAAATCTCGATTGGGGTTTCTGAGATTTCCAATGAATTTCTCAAACTCGCTAAGGAAGATTTGGATTGGATGGTGAGAATTAGGAGAAAAATACACGAGAATCCAGAGTTGGGTTATGAAGAATTCGAGACCAGCAAAGTTATCAGAGGAGAATTAGAGAAATTAGGGATTGTTTATAAACATCCAGTTGCGATTACAGGTGTTATTGGGTATATAGGATCTGGCGAGCCTCCTTTTGTTGCTATTAGGGCAGATATGGATGCTCTTCCCTTGCAGGTTTTGATTTATTTATAGTCTTAATACTTGATATTACTTCTGGTTACTGTATATGATTGCTAAATTAGTTGTGTTTGAGATTATTGCAAGTTATAATTAGTGAATTTTGATTGTTAATTTACTTGTGTTGAGCTTATTTCCAGTTATAATTAGTGAAATTTATTGGATTTTGATGGAATTTTAGACTTTAAGATTTGATTTACTTGTGTCTGAGCTTATTGCAAGTTCTGATTAGTGAATTCTGTTGAATTTTGATGGATTTGAGCTTTATTGCAAGTTATGATTAGTGAAATTTATTGTATTTTGATGGAAAATTTAGACTTTAAGCTTGTTGATTTACTTGTGTTTGAGCTTGTTGCAAGTTATCATCAGTGAAATCTGTTGAATTTTCATGGAAATTTAGACTTTAAGATTGTTAAGTTACTTGTGTTTGAGCTTATTGCAAGTTATAATTAGTGAAATATGTTGAATTTTTATAGGGATTTTGACTTTAAGATTGTTAATTTACTTGTTTTTGAGCTTATTGCAAGTTATAATTGGTGAAATCTGTTGAATTTTGGTAGAAATTTAGACTTCAATATTGTTGATTTAGGGGCCGTTTACTAAATGCTTATCGGGTGTTGCTTACCTTCCGGATGGGAATGGCAAGGACCTTTAATCTTACCCGGTAAAGGGCATAGCAAGGACCAAGAATCTTACCCAGTAAGCGAGGGAGAAGACCTTACGTGGTAAGCACTTTCTGGGTAAAAGACGCCTACCAACAATCCATTTTGATGGTCGAAATTGTTACCTCCGATAAGGTAACTGAGGCTGGTGCTCTTGCCGGTAAGCATTCGGTAAATGGCCCCCTTGTGTTTGAGCTTATTGCAAGTTATAACTAGTGAAACCTATTGGATTTTGATGGAACTTTTAGACTTTTGTTGTATGTTTTGACTTTTTGACTTCCATTTTGATTATAAGAAGGTCTGTGTGATTAGGAAATGGTGGAGTGGGAACACAAGAGTAAAGTAGCTGGAAAGATGCATGCTTGTGGGCATGATGCTCATGTGACTATGCTTCTTGGGGCAGCCAAGATTCTCAAAGGCCATACCCACCTTCTCAAGGTTTGTTCATCATATTTTGATGTTTTTTTTTCTGTAAACCAAACGTACCCATTATATCCCACTAAGAGTCGGTTTGAAAAGGGTATGATTGACACGGATCTTTCTGAAAAGATTTGTTCAAAGTTCTTTCTAGAAGTTTCCAGGATTTTGAAAACACACTTGGGAAAAATCACCAGAAAAAGAGTAAGGGAATGTCCTGTGCCTCCAAGAACTTCTATCAGATGTCATGTCGTCAAAAAGGTCTAATGTCGCCATGTCCATCATCACCTGCTCATTCATGTCCACTTCAGGTTGCCCGTCCTCCTCTCTCTCTCTCTCTACCCTCTTTCCTCGCTGGAGTCGCCGGATCCATCATTTTTCTCCTCCTAACGTTCCCGAACGACCATAATCTTCCCATTCTAAATTTACCCCCTGAAAACCCCATTTAGTAACCTGTCCAACATCCTCATTCCTGCAACTCCTTGTTGTGCTTCGTTATCGGACAACACTCATACCTATACAATATGTTTTCCATGTAATTGCTCAAGACAATCAGGAATACCCCTTTTTTAGCTCATCTGTATTTTTCCTGGTCACACTTCTCAATAGCCAAAAAAAGGGGGAATTTTCACTGAAACAACCGCTCAACACTTTAGGATAGAGGTCAGGTATGTGTATATCTCCCTCTGGACCCCACCCTCGGGGTTTGTTTGTTAGCAGATTAATAGGACTCGCAGCTTATTCGGTCAGCTATGCACGACTATTTGGTAGTGGCTTAATAATAGAGAAAATGGCTTATTCAACAAGCTTTTTTTTTTTG